TCGCTTAGTCGGCAGGTTTGCTGCGGCGGGGGTATTATAATAATTCATTGTAAAAGAAATCATTCGATGGATATAGGAAATAATCAACATTCTATATTGCCTTATCAACCTAGGCCCTTATCCTGAGTTATGAGGTATATTCTTTTGATTTATTTGTTTGTAAACAGTAATATAATCCCCCTGCCCCAGCAAACCTATAGACTGAGCGAATTCCCGTTTGCCTGATTATAATTTCATTAAAATATGTTAGAAAATTGCCCTGTTAACATGTTTGGAACTATTGTGATAGGTTTTCGTTTACAGTGCAAACCATTAAACACATTCTTTTATTATAGGTATATGTGTGCCACACTATAGGATACCGTATAAATTAAAAGACCATATTTTCTTAAACCGTTTCCTCTCCCATCACTGCAATGATCATTTTCTACTTATATGCCAACCCCGTACGAAGGACGGGTATTCTACTAGTTATTAATAAAGTTGAGAATACTAAAGGTTCTACAAAACAAAACATTGAATAATAAAAATACATTTGTATGAAAGTAACAGATAGATTGACAAAATTGTAAAACGATTGTATAATATCTAACAATATCAAATTATTTACAGTATCACGGTTACAACTTTTAAACTACTCTTGTTATGACTCAATGTTAACTTCTTTAGGACCTTTCATTTTATGCTTTTGTTAGTGGGGACTGGTTAAAACACCACAGTAGGTTTTACAAATATGATTGTGAGATGATATTATAATCTGAACTAGATTATGCCTGTTGATAATAATATGTATTTTAATTTAAGTACTTTAATTGATTCCGTTATATGTTTACCTCATATAACATTTGAACATGGATTGAAACATTAGATGTCTTTGGAATACTCTGAGAGTGAGAAGCAAAACATAACTTTCAGCAATGATGCATCGAAATCTACCTTTACTGAGTGATTCAGAAATGTAATTGTAAAATATTTTGTCAACATGACTAGAATGTTAAAAAAATAGATGTATCAGCACGAAATAGTTTGTAAGATAAAAAAATGCAGTCTAGGACAACTTATATAGCGTTCTAACCTCAAACATTGTTATTGTTTCAATGTACAAATTCAATTGATACAAAATAACTACGTTACCAATTTATGTTTGTAAACGAAAATCAATTTTTTAATGGTGGCGTAATAGCTATTTACAATACAAGTGTAGTAAGAGCGTTTTTACTTCACGCAGGTGAATGTTGTGTTGTACTCACTTCCGCTCGTTGCATAATTCACCTAAGTGATGTAAACACGCTCTTGCGTAACGTGTAACGTACAAGATTTTACCTGACCCGACAATATACATGGGTTTACGTACAATATTTTTCATTATCCATTTCACTCATCTTCTATCAGTAACGTTCTTTTACTAACAAAAGCTAGGTTAGGTAGGAAAATACTTTAAAGCATAACAATAACATTCAAGCGCACAGCTGATTTCTAGCGTTGAACGTCGTTGGCTCCATTATATTTTTTAAGTTAAGCACTCAATGTTATTTAAATGGGTTTCTTTACATCACCGAGTGAGTTTTTGATACTTTACATCACTCGAGAAGTAAGGAAGTTGTATACATCACGCTTGGGATAGGGAAGTTTAACATGGCGGGTTAGGTAAAATCAATTTAAATTATTATTTACTACACAAATTATTTGTAATGTAAAACATTGTTCACCACTCGGAGCAAAAGTATATTATTTATGGTACTTAAATTGTTTTATAGTACGTGGCAGTACAGTATTATTAGTTTATTTAGTTGCTTGTTGCACTGTTCTACACACTGCTCAAGCGCTACAACTCATTAAGTGGCATCCTGTTCACACACTGTTGATATATACTGAATTGTGGCATGGTGCCACTATTTAGAGTGTAGGCTGGCGCAAGAATTGGCAACGTAGCATTAGGAAAGTTATAGTTCCGGCGGACGGCGCGAGGCGCGCTAGCTACCAGTATGGTTTCGTGTTCCACAATTCGGCGTGTACCTGCGCTACTTAAACTCACATCAACGAGTTCAAAAATACTCAATTGTGGCATGTGATGTTTAAACGACGTAATAATGCTGGAAAACCTCAAAAATGATCGAATTAGCTGTGGCACCCTGAAAAAGGTGCCACAATTTTTGAAGGTGCCACAGTACGGCCGTGTGCCTGTGAAGGATGCCACTATTCGGTGAATACAAACACACACACAGACATCACTTCGAAAACCACTTTTTTCGAAACTAATATATCCACTCAAAACTCAAACTCGAAAATTTTGACGAAAACAATACTTTTAGCGAATTTCCCTATAGGGAAGTAGCTATTACCGTAGGTCTCATGGTAAGACCTAGGCCCGGGACCGATTTACTTTTTCATTTTGATGTCCCCAGAGGCCAAAAACACCATTCGTTCAAATTTTTATATATCTATATATAGAGATATATATATATATATATATATATATATATATGTGTCCATCCGCACGATAACTTGAGTAATTTTTGTCCGATTTTGATAAAATTTGGTTTGAAGATGTAAGGCGGGATAAACTCGAACGAGTTCGCGAACCAGCATGATCGGACTATGGGAACGGGGGTTTACGGGGGGTTTTATGGGGTAAAAATAGGTTTTTCCCATTTTTGACCCAAAAAAAATAAAATTTTACAAAATCTTTTCAAACCATTTTGTAGAGCTTAAAAAAACAAATAATTTAGTATATTGAAGTGTTACTATGCGCCTAATGGTTACGGAGAAAATTCCAAAAAAATGTAAATTTTAAATTCCCATGTTATTCTTATGGAGAATGAGTAAACCGTTGTAGTTTGCTTGTTTATGAACCTATTTTGATCAAATTTGGAAAATGTTTTTATTTCTATTAACTATTAACATTTTGCAAAAAAAGTTTTACCCTCCCTGATGCAGCAAACCTAAGTACCTGTTAAAATAATTCTATTTAAATAGGAAATGAATGTTAAATTTTTAAGTAGACATTTTAGTGTAAATCCAATCAGACATATGGAAATTCGCTTAGTCTGCAGGTTTGCTGCGGCGGGGGTATCTCCATTTACTATGGTAGCCTATAGGGGGAGAAAGTAAAAAGACACTCAGATTAAAATTAAGAGCAATAAAACATACCAAACAAATGATGACAGATTTCTCACAAAATACAATGACCCAGCTGTGTGGTGATGCCTAACAAGTCGAAAATACCCCCACCGCAGCAAACCTGCAGACTAAGCAATTTCTGTTTGCCTGATGGATTTACACTCAAATTTCTCCTTAAATATTACATTTATTCCTTAATTAAATAGCATTAGTTTAACGAGTACTAACGTTAGCTGCAACAGGGAGGATAAAAATTATTTTTTGTAAAATGATATTAGTTTATTAGAAAATAAATGCATTTTCCAAATTTGATCAAAATATGTCCATAAACAACAACAGTTTACTTATTCTCCATGAGAAAAACATAGCAATTTAAAATTTTCAATTTTTTAGAATTTTTCTCCGTAACAATTAGGCCCATAATAACGCTTTAATATACTAAATTATTTGAGTTTTTTTCAAGCTCTACAAAATGGTTTGCAAAGAAATTGCAAAATTTTATTTGTGTTTTTTGGCTCAAAATGATGAAAACCCAATTGTTACCCCATAAAACCCCCCATAAACCCCCGTTCCCATAGTCCGATCATGCTGGTTCGCAAACTCGTTCGAATAAATGTAGATTTACATGTTTATACAAAATTTCGGATGATTTTTGCTCAAGTTATCGTGCTAATGAACATATATATATATATATATATATATATATATATATATATATAATATATAAAATTCTCGTGTCACAGTGTTTGTCTGCAAACTCCTCCGGAACGACTTCACCGATCGTTATGAAATTTGGTGTGTAAATTCTGTAGGTATGCGAATCGGACGTAAACTATTTCCCGTTTCGAAATTCTTAAAAGGGCTCCGCCCCAGTGGCTCTGGAGTTTCCCATGTTAACCTTATGAAAAATGGAATTAATGAATCTTAACAGCTGTTTCAATTAAACAAGTTGGTTCTGTTCTATGATGTTCAATAGCATTAAAGTTACAAGGATTACCAACAGGGTGCAGCACTAGCACTATTATTTCTTTTATATTTATGACAACAGCTAATTTGCAACCAAAAGGTGAGTGAGCGTAGCGAACGAACTTCAACCTGGAGGCGAGTGAGCGTAGCACGAGCTAACCTGGAGGCGAGTTAGCGTAGCGAACGAGCTCCAACCTAAAGGCAAGTGAGCGCAGCGAACGAGCTCCAACCCAAAGGTGAGTGAGCGTAGCGAACGAACTTCAACCAGGACGTGATTGAGCGATGCGAACGAGATCATCTTGAATATTAAACGTAACGGTACTTTCTTTCCATCGGTCTGTCTTAGGGGAAACCTATAACTTAGGCGATACGAAGTTCGCCGGGTCAGCTAGTATATATATATATGAATTTGAACGGATGGTGTTTTTGGCCTCAGGGGACATCAAAACAAAAATGTAAATAGTTCCCAGGTCCAGGCTAACAGTTATGAGTACTACGGTAATAGCTTATTCCCCATATGGGAATTTTGCTAAAAGGAAAGTGAGGCATTTGAGGAATAGGGTCTGGATCTGCATAGTAGACTCTAAATAATATAGAACATCACAGTGTAAAGCCTAGCTCTAACTGGGTGCACTTGATCCTTGGAAGGAGATTCAGTGAAGTTAACGTTTATTAGTGACTTAAATAAATAAATAAAAATGTCTTCATTAAGCGTTTTGTAGCGACTCGCTACAATAGCACAAGTCACGTGACTTAGCTGCGAGTCTCCCCGCGGCAAGCACGCGCGACGAGAGGTGAGTACAGTAGTGTGTCGACCAGCAACAGTTCAACTGACCGGATAAGTACTAGCATTAAGACTATGTCTAGATAGGTTTGTAGGGGTTGGGAAGGGTGTATTATGTAAGTTATTAGGTTCACCAATGGTCGTGGTCTGGAAATCAATATCCCAAATTTAAAATTCACATTTGCTAAATCTAGTTACTTTTCACGAATTAGAATAAGTCCAGATATATATTTATTTCTCTGTTCACTATATTATAATTAGATATATTAAATAACATTAAAGCTGGCTGTGATAGGTAATATTGTGCACTTTGACGAGGTAGTTAGCTTCCTTGGAGTAGAATTGAACAACGACAGGAAATGTGCGTGATTTGGTAGTGGTGAGAGGAAGGTATATAGGGCCCAGGTATCTTCATTCACACTCATACTACTCCACATCACCACAGTTTCTCTTGTACACCAGCTTTTCAGAACAACTTTCGTCAATATACTAGATATCTTATTCTACTATTTGGCCGTTACACACTTAGACTATAATTAACAATTTTTTAAAAACATATCTTTAAGTTTTTCTTTAAATGTTTTGCTGATGCAAAAACCTTCAGGCTATCGGGTAGACCATTGTATAAAAGGGGCCAAAGTATGGGAAGCTTTTCCTCCCAACCTCTAGAGAAAATCATGACGTGTCCTGCGCTGGGAAACCTCATCGCGATGAGAAAGCCTCTCGCGTAAATAGTCGGGCTTACAAAGAGACAGCACTCTGTGGGTCATGCATAACGTGGCCATACGTCCCGCTTTACAGCAAGTTGTCCTGCTGTCCCCACAATTGGCCAGGGGACGTCTAAATGTCCCGCTTTGGAGGTCAGGCGTTTGAAATATTATATGAAATATGAAATTTAGCCTTTACACACTAATGTTTAGTTCGTGTAAGAACACTAGCTAGAAAAATAAAGGAAACTAACCTATTAACCTATTTGGTTAACTGTACAATTAGCACGTCATCGTTCATCGATCCTCGATCGCGTGACCTCAACTATCTATACTATACTCGTCAACGATCGGCTCTAGTACAATTTATTTCCGCACAAGTGTTGAAGCGCTGTAGGCTACTACGGCCTCAAAAGACGCAGGTTGTCACTGTTTTCAGTAAACTGTCAAGTTGTTTACAGTACCTGAACCTCTAACTTTTAGATAACATTCGGTGCGAAGAAAGTTTGTTTGTGTTTTGATTATTGTACTGTTCAATTGTGCATTAGATAATGACCAAACGGAAATGCACATTTAATAGTGAGTTACAAGCAAAATATCCGTTTATTAAACTTAAGTTTGAGACGAACAAAAGTGATGTGACCCGCCATTTGTATATTCGCGTCCTTCGCTCAGTTCCCGCTGTTTACGTACACTTGGTGAAGCTATCCACTTTTGAGGAGATTTCTAAGTAAAGATATGTTCCGTCCAATGAACTTACAAATAGGTTAAATATGATAAAAACTCAATTAAAAACCAATTTATGTTTTAAAAATCATTATGTCTAGATTGCATAATACAGCTATTATTTTTCAAAAATTTTCCGGGGGAGGACCCTCCCTTTCACCTGAGGCGGACTGAGGGGGGGGGCTCCATACCCCCCCAGACCCCCCGGAACAGGGTGTCCCGCTTCGTACTCCAAAATATATGGTCACGTTAGTCATGCAGCACGTCAACAACCTGCACATGGCTTCAACAGGAAGCAGACTAGTTACTTCTTGAAAGGGAGAGATATGATCACATTTTTTCAAACAGAAAATGAAACGGATTGTGGAGTTTTGCAGACCAATACATGCCTTCCCGAGAAATGCTGTTGCCATACGCAGGGAAGCAGTAGTAAAATACTCACAGTATTAGTGACTGCACAAGCTGAAGTTTTGCAGCCTCAGTTTAGTCAGGATCAGTACATAAGTTGTGGCAAATAGCTTAAGGTTAAAAATAGGGATGGACGGGTCCCGAAATTTTGGGAATTTTTCGGGAAAAAAATATTCCCGATTATCGGGACGGGATTACATTTGACTCGGGAATTTTTCGGGACGGGATTTGGTCCGATCGTCGGCGATTTTTCCGCTTCGCGAGTGCCGATAACGCCGTTATTGCGAGCGATAAGTCCGCGAACGCAGGAGACGAAGTCATTTCGACGATTACGCCGTGACCGCGGAGTCATAACGACGATCGCGCCGTGGCCGCGATTATTGGACCGACAATTGCACCGTGACCGCGAGTCATAACGACGATCGGGCTGTGACCGCGGAGTCATACCGACTGACCGCGGAGTCATAACGACGATCGCGCCGCGACCGCGAAGTCATACCGACGATCGCGCCGTGACCGCGGAGTCATACCGACGATCGCGCTGTGACCGCGAGTCATACCGACGATCGCGCCGTGACTGCGAGTCATACCGACGATCATGCCGTGACCGCGAGTCATACCGACGATAACCCCGTGACCGCGGAGTTATATAGACGATCGCGCCGTGACCGCGGAGTCCTGCCGACGTTCGCGCCGTTACCGCGGAGTCATACCGACGATCGCGCCGTGACCGTGGAGTCCTACCGACGATCGCGCCGTGACCGTGGAGTCCTACCGACGATTGCGCCGTGACCGCGAGTCATACCGACTGACCGCGGAGTCATAACGACGATCGCGCCGCGACCGCGAAGTCATACCGACGATCGCGCTGTGACCACGAGTCATACCGACGTTCGCGCCGTTACCGCGGAGTCATACCGACGATCGCGTCGTGACCGTGGAGTCCTACCGACGATCGCGCCGTGACCGCGAGTCATACCGACGATCGCGCCGTGACCGTGGAGTCCTACCGACGATTGCGCCGTGACCGCGAGTCATACCGACTGACCGCGGAGTCATAACGACGATCGCGCCGCGACCGCGAAGTCATACCGACGATCGCGCTGTGACCACGAGTCATACCGACGATAACCCCGTGACCGCGGAGTTATATCGATGATCGCGCCGTGACCGCGGAGTCCTACCGACCTTCGCGCCGTTACCGCGGAGTCATACCGACGATCGCGCCGTGACCGTGGAGTCCTACCGACGATCGCGCCGTGACCGCGAGTCATACCGACGATCGCGTCGTGACCGTGGAGTCCTACCGACGATTGCGCCGTGACCGCGAGTCATACCAACGATCGCGCCATGACCGCGAGTCATACCGACGATCAATAATCGCGCCGTGACCGCGAAGTCCTACCGACGTTCGCGCCGTTACCGCGGAGTCATACCGACGATCGCGCCGTGACCGCGAGTCATGACGACGATCGCGCCGTGACCATGGAGTCCTACCTACGATCGCGCCGTGACCGCGAGTCATACCGACGATCGCGCCGTGATCGCGAGTCATGACGACGATCGCGCCATCACTGTGAGTCATACAGACGATCACCCCGTGACCCGCGAGTCACAAGTTACTATAGGTACCTGTAAACCCATTTTTTGGTTTCTATAGATCAATGCCACAAATGGTAAAAATTGATTTCGTACGTGTTTTTTGGTAACTGCAAAACAGGTCTTTCTTTTTATGCACAGAAAAAAATCCCGTCCCGTCCCGTCCCGAAAATCGGGAAGGAAATAAAAATCCCGTCCCGTCCCGTCCCGAACTAAAAATTCAATCCCGTCCATCCCTAGTTAAAAAACTTAATTTTATATATGTTTTATTACACCTATAATTCAATCAATGGGGATAAAAGAAGTTATTTTAAGCAGTCTTTTTAAAAATAATGCAGCTTGATTACTTAATTAAATTTCTATAAAGAACCTTACCTAGTTCCATTTTGACGACACCATCATTAATTAGGAATGACACATGAAATATATTCTCAACTGTCGCAGAAAATGAAGTAGGATTGATGACAAATTTGAAATAATTAATGGGCCTTTTTCCATTGCGTTTATAAAAAGTTTTTAGTTTTCCATAAATGTTTTGGATGGTTTCTGCAATTCCTTCATGTGTCTTGTCAACGCTTTTCAACTGTAACAAAGTAAAGTCATTTTTTTTAATTGTATAGACTCTTGGTACAAAATAGCAGAAGTATCATAAACCTTTTGTTGTTAAGGCTAATGGTAGGTTACATTTTATCTTGAACTCAGTTCAAGTTTAAATAAGTGTTAGCACTTATTTACACCATTTTTGATGAATAATCAAACAACAAAGACTCTGAAGTGCAATCAAATCCAAAACAAAATACGTGAGCACGCCAAGAAATGCCAAAGACTAGACATTTAATTGTACTGTACTCAACTGCCAACCTGCTTGATCGGTGCAATAGACATTTCATTGCCAAGAGGTTCCAAGGCTGCAGACCAGTGACCACCCCTCTCTGTGTGTGGAATTCTTTACTTTTACTTTTCATTGAAATGACGACCATAGGTATTTTAAACCAAGTATGAATGGAGATGAGTATAGGATGAGTTCCGCGATCTCTTAGTCTTGATAGTGACCAAGGCCGACATATTCCTTAGACACAGCTCATATTAATAGCCCATACAGCTAATGGTAATCTAAATTCCAAACCACATTTATGCCTTGGTATTAACGAATTTGGTCTAATTATCAGGATAGTTAGTACTCACTAGTGTGGACGTTAATCCACACCAGGGAGTATTGCATCCACAGTGCATGCCTATAAATATCCACAATTCGTGACCTCCTAGTAGCTGGATTACAGGACTACGCCACCGTTAATAGGAGAGGAGTTGCTTTGAATTAAAAGTCCTTTGTCCCTGGCAATTTTTCAGAATATATTTAAGAAAAAGAACATACTGGATTACTAGTTTTCCAAGAAATAAAAGGTGGAAATAATGGATACATTTTGAGAGGATTAAAATAGGACAGACAAAATCAGAAAAGAGAATCCTTTTAGATGAGTGCGCTTAAATGTAATGGAAGGAGCACAGAAAAAGCATTAAAAGATGTAGGGGATATACATGGGAAGCCAATAAAATGTGTTTTTTTCTCAAAAGTTGTAGAATTGAAAACAGTGCAGACTCTTGTGACAGTACAATTATATAATGTACAATTATAAACGGGAAATAGTTTACGTCCGATTCGCATACCTACAGAATTTACACACCAAATTTCATAACGATCGGTGAAGTCGTCCCGGAGGAGTTTGCAGACAAACACTGTGACACGAGAATTTTATATATTAGATTATTCAGAGTCTTCATAAAATTTCCATAATAAAGGAGAAGGGAGTCCTAGGAGCACTGTGATGAGTATCCCTGCCCAAACATCCTATCACAAGGTGTCCACAGAACTAACTTTTTAAAATTTCTGTATAATTTCCATATTTTCCAACCGGTACTTCAAGAGTTCCCTATATTTCCGCAATGCTTTATAATGATCAGTGAATGGGCTGCGTCGGCTTAGGCCAGTCGGGAGTGGAGGGAGCTAGACTGTGCAGCCAACACTGAGCGAGCGATCCATGAGTTGTTTATATCGTTGGCACAATATTGCCTAGTTTGTTGATAACGTCTATTTTCACTTTTAGTTATTTCCATACGGTATCACAATATTTAATTACGTATAATAAAAACATCCCACATTTTTTACGAAATTCCCAGAAAATTCCCGGAATTTCCTGTTACATGGACACCCTGTATCAATGTGCTGACATGCTGTTTAACATGATTTGATATCTAAAATAAAAACAATACCTTTTCTGGTTCTTCTTTTTCAACAACTTGATCCTTTTCTCTTGCAGCTCTAGGCCTTCTCTCTTTGTTCTGTATCACAGACACCTCTGCTTGGTAGTTAAATGAGCCCAGCAGAGGAGCCCAATGAGGAAGAGAGTTGTGTAGAACAGGCTGGGCTACAGCTGCTAACACTTCCCATGACGGTTGGTCTCTGTCATTTAGCGTCTTAGACCTCTGTAAAATTGTTAGTACTTAGAGTTTTTAAAAAGTATGCCACCTTATAGTAATTAAAATAGATAACAAACCCATAAAGCACTGCTGATCTAAATTACTAATTTCTGTGGAATACACCAACTTTTTTACCAAGTCAAAATGATGGAATTACTCAGTGTCAGCTGTAGCAACTGTTACGACTCATCATCTTGATCAGCAACAAAAGATAAGGTAGAAAATAGAATTTTAGACACAATCAACACAAATAACTATCAAGTTTGATTCCGCCTAACGGAATCAAACAATCCTTTTCATGTTTCGAAGCCACATGTTCCAAGAGATTAAGTTGCCGGTAAGAGGGGTTGCTTAGTTCATCTACCAGTTACAATTCAACCAATTCTTGCTTCAATCAGGTTTTTCTTATATATATTTATATATTAGTTTGGAAGGTGTCAATCAAAATTAGGGTATTTAAGTGTGTTAGTTAAATAAGTGTAATCAAAGCTGGCTTGGGCTGTCTTCCTGGTCTGGGTAAAAGGTCCAATTCTCTGGGCCCCCCATCACACATTTCCAGTAATCCAAAGAAATACTGACAACCAGAATAGTTTAAAACCATATCACAAGATTACCTACACCACAAATGGTATAACAAATGGTATAATCGCATTCTGAGTCTGGCTCACACAACTACGTTCTTTTTTAATAAAAAATTAGCGACAGCTGGTCCATAGATGGGATGTCTACTTCAGTATCCAATAGCCAATGGTAATACTAAATAGTATGTACGAATATCTGACAGGTGCAAAATTATACCCTCGACGAAAAGTGATAAACTCATTGTCAGTAAAGAAAAAATAGCCGCTGTTAAAACACATTCATAAGATAAATTAAAATGTGTGATACTTAAAATGTCAATAGGAATTGTGTGGATAAAGTGAGAGGAGAAAAAACCACAAAATAAATAGTAGTTGAGTCCACCAACGTTTTGATTTAGGCTCAACTAATCTAAAATCAGCTGTTAAAATACAAACAACGATCCACACGAAATAACTAACAATTATATATACAGTTTACACCTTGAGAGTCCAAAATTACGAATCTTAATAATAACCATACATGGAAATAGTTATGGGGTAAAGACACAGTTTCTGATTTTTTGAGTAAATTTTCAGTTTATACCCGGAATGGTTCAGTTAGAGGTAGAGGTGACAATTTCAATTTGGTAGCACTGTTTCCTTAAATGCAAGTTAAAGATCTGATGTTTTGTAACCAAGCATTGTTTCTTAATTTGAGCGAAGCTCACTTTCCCTCACTTTGTAACTTCTTTGTAAGAGCATCAGAGTGTAATGGCTTGACCAATTGATATGAAATTTGGCCAACAGCTAAAGAATACTGAGCACAATGTTTTGGTAAAAAATATTTGCAAATTTACTTCTGGATTTTATTTTACGGGTCACGCAATTTCGCTTGTTATTTTAATGTAAGTTGAAAGAAAAATTACATTGGGTTTATGACATATGGGTTTATCTCGTTTCATTTAAATAAGATAAACATATGTTAATTGTTTGTAACTGTTTTGTTTACATTTTAATGTTTACTTTCATCCTAGGTTAAAGTTGGAATGTAACAGTTTATCAATGGAAGTAACAGTTTTGCTATATTTGTTTTGAGCATGCCTCAAAGGCTACGTCGTAATATTGGTCGTCGCACCGATAATGCAAATAGTGTAAGAGAGTGGCGTCGTGAACAAGAAGAACCAGATGAAGCAGTGGCGGAAGAATCTGATAATGATAGGCAGTTAGCTAATCAATTCCAACATGAATTAGATGCACAAAAATTTTACACTTGCACTAACTGTCATCGCCAACAACTAACAGCTTCAAACCAATCACCGATTTGTTCGCGTTGTCGTTCAAATGCAACTAAATTCACGGCGTAAATAATATGGATGTGTCAAGTGTCCCGAACGAATTAACTGACCTGACGATTGTAGAACAAATGTTGATTGCACGAGTACATCCTGCTATGCCCATTTACAAAGTACAAGCAAATGGTCAGGATGGCCAGTTTCACTACAAAGGTACAGTATGAACTATCAGATAAATTTGTCATTTTTTAGAATTTAAATAATATTGGGCGAACAAACGGTCAATCTGTTGAAAGGGAACATATTGTAGGGTGTTAGCTGCTTTAGCCATTGACAATCTTTAAATAATGCTTCGCTCATTTATGCGTCTAACTAAAGTGTAACGGCAGACCACCCTAGTAATCACATTTATGATTATGAAAGATATTCAATTGAAGAATATGTTTGAATTAAATTGTAAAAACCTTTTCTGTACAAGGAGAAAATTGGGCACGATTTGCCCTTAATCCGTAGATTGCGCCCTGTAATACCCTTTACAATTCAGTTCCAGTCGATGGAGAGCGTCAATTGATTATATGCGGCGGTATTTGAAAGAATTAGGGGATTAATAATGATTTGAACGACTTGTGGTTTTTAAAGACGACTTTTCATACTGTTTGAGAAACTATTCAGTTGTTACAAAAAAGTTTCCAGGATGTTCAATTTCTTTCTTCAGTGATCAACTGTTTGTTTAGCTGATTGTTGCCAGGAAGGTTATGTGACCTTACACCACTGGATTGTTTTCTAGAAACAAGCCCAACTAGATTCCGGAGCTGAAGGACAAGATTTACTGAGTTAACTAAATGAAGCAAAATCACTGCTACCATAATAGCAAACGTCTACGTTAATTGTTGACATATTTTATATCTACAATACAATTAAATGCTGCATGTGGTGGTCACTTGATAGATATAATTTTTCATGTTAAATGTCAGTTTAGTTTTAAATTTTAATTTCATCACCTTGGAGTTTTGGAAAGCTTTTTATGAACAGTGAAAGTGTAAAAGAAGACAGATACAATTTTTGTTTATATGTATTAACGAGCTGTTGGCCCGTCCTATGTACGGGAATCGAGTAGTCCAACTGTATATAGTTATATCAATATGTCTATTCTTAATTCAAGCATAGTTTAAGCAGTTCAAAATGTATTGTAAAGAAAAAGCTGCCAAGATGAATTAAAACATGTGATCATTGTTATTTTCCCAACCTTTCCTCAAAAAGTGGAGAAGTAAAATAATTTGCATAATCTTTCTTTTGAAGATTCATGAGCTTCGATTCACATACAGCAATAGCTATAGAATCCTACTTATTTCCTATAATCTTACTAATATTATAAACTAGCTGGCCCGACAGACGTCCTGTCCTAATGTGGTTTTATGTCAAATGCTCATTCATTTTCAAGATGAGCTCTTTTGCATGGCTCAATCATGTCCTGGTTGAAGTTCCTTCGCTACGCTCACTCACCTTTTGGTTGCAAATAAGCTGTTGTCATAAATAAAAAAATAACAATAGTGCTGCGTCCTGTTGGTAAACCTATTAACTTTTTAATGCTCTTGAACATCACAGAATCAACTTGTTTAATTGAACCAGCTGTTAAGATTATTTAATTCCATTTAAATATGAGCACTCATAATGTTAACGTGGGAAACTCCAGAGCCACTGGGGCGGAGCCCTTTTGATGGATCTGCACCAAACTTCACACAAACCATCCTTGAATAATGCTAAATAATGCCTCAAAGTTTCATTACAATCTGTCGAGCAGTTTCGGAGTCCATAAAGGACAAACAAACAAACATACATTGGATTTTATATATATAGATGTGAAAGTTTGTGTGTTTGTTTGTTTGAAGTTCAATCACGCATAAACCACTGGACGGATTGGGCTGAAATTTGGCATGATGATAGCTCACATTCCCGATTAACATATAGAGGCATATTCTTATCTCAAAGATCCTTTCGGGCTCCGCCCCAGTGGCTCTGTTGTTCCCCATGTTAACTTTATGAGTATTCATATTTAAAGGGAATTAAAGAGTTTAGTCAGCTGCTTTGACTAAAAAAGTTGGTTCTATGATATACAAAAGCATTAAAAATTTATAAGATATACCAACAGGTTGCAGCACTATATTTTTTTTTGCTTCTATGTAAACAGCTATTTGAACTAAGCAGTAACAAAAAACTATGAGACGCAATGAGAACTGTCAAAATAGGATTGTTTACAGTTACGTTTATGTTTTTAATGTCATGAATAATTTGTGATATTTTGCGATTTATTAATAATTTATTTTTCTTTATTGTTTAGGTGAAGTAGTAGAACATAATGGCTATGGTAGATGTGTAATACCGTCAATTTAAAGAAGCAAATTTTATCAAACTTTGTACTCCCCAATTGCAAACGCAAAGCTTGGGTATAACTACAAAGCATTTTAAACTTATATGCCAACCCCGTACGAAGAACGGGTACTCTGCTAGTCAATTAATAAATCACACAGTAAATAAACTAACCTCATAGTTCTATAGAATATTTTTATATTCAACCAGCTGTTAGTTATAACAAATTATATTGCATTAAAAGAAACTAAAGATTTTAAAGACTGCTCAAAAAAATAAGTTAGAACATCGAGTATTTTACTGTGTAAAATAATCTCTCATCCTCTTACCGAATAAATGAACGTAACAATGATTCTAGCATTACTCATAGTATAAATAAGTGAATCCTGCGTATGTTATTTAATTTTCACCCAAATGCTGAATTTGTGTTGAAAACTCTGAATGTTTACAGCTGTTACGGTAAGTAATGGTATTATACCAAAACCTAGAGTAGAATGTTAGCGTCGGCTGCTAGACTTTTTAAAATTTAAAACTTTATTTCCAAAAAACTGAAACCCTAAACTAAAATTATGGCTTCAACATTCCCTAGTTTTTTAAATTATCTTTCTTTCAACACAAAAATCATGAAAATCCGTCAAGTGGTGAAATAAAAAAACCCTGTCACGTTTTAATATATATGATTGCTATTCTGGAATTTGTAAAGACAAAACTAAAGAATGTCACACTTAGCAGGTTTTTATATATAGAGACAGGAGGAGGGGACAGATCTAGGGATAGTTACATAATTCACAATCAGTCTACCCATTACTTTCCATATCCATAGAGTTACTGATTGTCCAATTTCCTAACTAAAAAAATTGACAGAAAGTGAAATTGGCAGTGATTGGCAACACTAGTTGCACCGACTGTTAATGTTTTTAAAAGGGATGAGATATGCATTTAATGCAAGACATACCAGCTGTTCGGCAAACTGGAACAATTTAAAATTGCCCTCTCCAACATCTAAGTTTACAGTTGTGTCTTCGAGTGTTCTGGTAGATGAGTGTATTACTTTGGCGTCCAAATAAAGATGACTTGGCTTCTTGACTAAAACAACAATGATATTCTTTTACAAACAATATTCCAATTGGTGACAAGTTACTTAATATATAGCTTGATGTGGTTTGTTAAAAAATTTCAACTGCTAAATGAAAGTAATCCGCACAAAGCTTGCCTTCCCCACGTTCCTAATAAATAAGATCTCATGTTTGACAGCAATATTCAGCACTCAGTTGTGTTTTAGATGCCTTTGATCTTTTGTAAACATTGTAATTTTATTACATTAAATTATTTTTGTCTCTCCAATTCTCATCAGTTTTTGTATGATCCACAAAAATGGATGGTTTTAGTTCTTCAAGACCAGAATGTAAACAAAATAAATCAATAAATCAAAACTTCAAACGACCGTTATTCAGTTTATATTTGTGAGCCCGTAAAAATTGTTCCACCATTAATATTCAGCTGAATATCTAGTAGGCCTATCTGGTGATATATAAATCAATATAGGTTCCCATGGTCATATTAATGTAAATAATTACCGATAATGCTGCTAATCAATTGATAATTAAAACATTTTGGGCCTACAATTAGCTGTAAAAGGGGTGAGGTTCATAACTCCAAGTTTTCATAACTCCAAGTACTTTTAAATACAACATTTCATAACTCCAAGTAAAATTATGTCCAAGTAAATTAAAACCTAAATATCATAAGACCAAGTTTCATAACTCCAAGCGTTCATAACTCCAAGATTCATAAGTCCAAGTTAAAATAAAACCAAGTAAATTAAAATACAAAATTTCATAACTCCAAACGTACAGATTTGCAAGGACCACAAGTCCAAGTTTCAAAACTCCAAGGGTTCATAACACCAAGTTTCATAACTCCAAGTGACAATGGGTACAGTCCGTGCAGGAAGCGATAACGTACGCACACACACGCACCCATTACACACACACACATGCTGGAAGAGAGTTTCCGATGTTGGCGAGATTATTCGAAGTGGTGCGTTCCCTGTCGCTTTGCACGTTCGTCTAAATTGTAATACAAATAGTGAGAGGATGAAATTTACATATTTAAATTCTGCGTAAACTGATGTTTAATACTATATAAATACAATTTAGTTCGTGCAGATGATTAATGTTTAATAATGGAAAATATGAAAAGGTTGTTCAATGTGAACATGAAAAAGTAAGTGAGCGAGGATTTTTTTTATTTTTTGGTCAGATGAAAACTTTCAGCGAGAAAAGTATAGATAATAAGATGTTCTTCAATTTTTGTTCCAAACATTTTTTCGTAAGACTTTTAGTTTGTCCAATAATCGACTTAGATGACCACCACGAGGTATGAATGAATTAGTTTACGCGCACAGTATTTTAGCAATTGCCGTCTTCCAACATCAATATTAAGGAAATACAGTATTAGTTCACGTTTTAAAATTTCTAAACTATGAAAAATATTTAGTCTTAACTTCTTCAGCTGTATGTACGAAATTTCGAAATTTTTTCTACATAATATTCGTGGTGCACAACGCAAATAAGTCGTAGTGCCTTTTTTTCCACTATTTTTCATCTCCTATTTTCGGAAAAAATTTAAACAGTATTAATCCAGGTTAAGGTTTCATCTTGTAGCATTCATTTGTAAATATAAAATTTGATTATAGTTACAATTACTTGTTCCCTCATAAATCTTTATTCCGTTACAAATATGAGAGTGTATGTTAGCAAAGTAAATTGTACGCAAAATGTCTGTAGTGCATAATGGGTTTAATAAAAAAATACCATATTTAAAATTTTAAAAATACTATCTAGATTTGTATGATCCAAACAAGCGGATATAATCTATAGATAGGTCTAAACATTTGGATTTCGAGACTAAATTATCATAGAAATAGGTTTTTGAGTAAATACATCTATACCTAATACCAGATTGTTTTATTTGAGTTAAATAGAAGGTATTTATCATTTAGGTATTATTGAAGTACCTTAATGAGTTAAGTACTTTAATATAAGAATTGATGTCGTCCAGTGGTCAAAACTCGACCACAGTCCAAATAAAATATGAACTTATCTATATTCATCCCACGCTGAAAATCAAACATGAGATGATTGTGTACCAGTCTTCAATTTGTTTTGATTTTCTGTATATTTATCGTTGTTATTCCGTCACCAGAATTTTAACTCATAATCCAAATGTTAGTTTTTTGTTTGTGTTAAATTCGTTTTCGTACTTATTTTTCATCAAATTGTCTGTAACAATTTTATTTGTTCAATTGGTGTATTTTTTGTTTAGTTGCAATAACGTTAATTATATTTACCTGAGAAAATGCAAAGTTAAAGACCTTCTGTTGTTCAGATGATTTTTGTTTCCCTTAGCATTATATGAATAATAATTAAAAGCCTTCAGGTAAGGGGCTCTTGGATATTTTCATAGGCTATTATTAAAATTGCTTGACTTTTATGAAAACATAGATTAATATCATTGACGTACCAGATTTATTTGGCTTTAGAGGGCTTTCCTCTGCAATGATCACAAAGTTAAGTCCATGTTTCCTAATAAAATTTGTAGCACTTCGGCTAACATCCTCGTTCATAGTTTGTAGGAATCTGAATCTTGTAGGTGTTCTTCATTATACAGGCTAATGACGATAGTTAATTCTTTAAAAAAATATTATCTCTATTTCTTCTACTAGGGGGCGTTCTATGACTTTTAATGTTTCAATAATTTGCAAATGGGTTCTTTCAATGATTTATTTTTCAAAGATTTAATTTTTGTAGGACGCTTTTCTTAGACATGCAGTTTAAATATTGACAGCAATTAAATTATACAGCTGATCAAAATTTAAACAATTATGATCTTCATAAGGATAACATGGGAACCTTCAAAGCCACTGGGGTAGAGCCCAAGGGACTTTTTCAAATCCAGTTCAAGGCCAGTTTGAAAATCTACGCGACACGCTCTTTCCAATGATACGTCAATGGATATAATCGGTTAAGAAATGACGGAGGAGTTCAACCGACAAACTTCGTGTTCGCGTATTAATTATATAGATATACGTATCACGTTTTGTTTAGCCTACAGGTAGGAAATGTCGCTCATTACGAAAATCTATATAATTAATACGCTAGGCCTACATGAAACTTTGTCGGTTGAACTCCTCCGCCATTTCTTAACCGATTTTATCCATTGACGTCTCATTGGAAAGAGCGTGTCGCGTAGATTTGCAAACTGGCCTTACATTTTTGAAAAAGTCCCGTGGGCTCTGCCCCAGTGGCTTTGAAAGTTCCCATGTTATCCTTATGGCTGTTTAATTTAATTGCTGTTATTTATTTTTCAATTCAATGAAACCCATCGAGTACATTTATTTACTATTTGAGTTTGTGTAAACATAACCTCCAAGACGGATTTTGTTAGTATGGTTGTACAGTATCTTAAATTTGTGTATTTATTTATCGTTGTTTTGTGTAGCTATGACGGGTCGCGTTAGCACGATTGTATCATTTATCGTTGTTTTGTGTAGCTATCATTTGTTTATTTGTTGTTTTTTTTTCTTTTATATGCCTCCGACGTGACGACAACAACACATATAGACAGGAGGCGTAATCGTGATAACGACCGCAGCTCACAGAACAGTGGCGAGTCAGTCAGCACCTGACCCTGGACAATTTCAACTATTAGGTTACAAATGCCCCCTAACACTACCCCAAAACGACTTTTCGTTCTCAATTGGCCCTCTATAAATGACCTGTGTTGCCTGTACAGCGAGGCATTTTGAGAAGGAGAAAACCGGCCCGAATGCTTTAGGTTTATCAATAACGAAGATAAACATAGTCTGAGTTACACACCGGTAATCTTTGAGTTGACTCTTTTAAATTCGTTGTAAATATGATTGTTATTCGTTTTGAAATATCTTCTGTAATATTTGCAATTGCTCGAATTCGAGCAACATGTACACTAGTATTTATTAATTCTTTTAATAATGACTCTAGAGAAGAGTTAGAAAATTAAAAGGTGTAGAACAATACAGCTAACAAAAGTGGTCCTGTAACATTTGGTCATAACTTGAACCCATATGACATTATGGATCCTTTCATGTTCTGGAATTGATGGAGAGTTGCGTGGAGGGGCGAGCAGGGGCGTGTGGGACTTTTTTAGTATCCATACTGGCAACCTGCCTGCCGCTTACTTCGAATTGTCAATGTTACCAACATAACGTGGCTTCCGTGCCCCGTCTTCTGAACTGCCCGTTTAAAAAATGTAAATTTAAGTAAAAAAGGCCTGTAAATATAAATATAATAAAAAAATATTAATATAAATATAAATATAAATTAAAATAGAAATATTGCATATAAATACAATCAAATTAAATGTAAACGGTTATGGCAGTTTACCAAATAAAAATATAGGCATACAGCACATCAAACTTGAGCTTAGAATGTGAATATTTGCTGAATATTATAGATATGGACTAATTTCTCAGGTCCCCATAGGCCGAATTCAACGGGCTACGTCTGTTATGCTTTCACAGTTTGAATAATTTAATTCTGTTTATTTAATGAAAGTGCTGGGCAATGAAATTAATTGGCGTTTGTTTTATTTACTTGAAAAAATATGTTTTTGATGCTAGGAAATATGTTCATCTGGGGGATTATGTTCGGACAAAAAAAGGTTGTACAAGTTTTGTAAGAGTATTGCTCACAGTTTTATTTGTAATGTATATAGTAATGAAATATAAATAGGCATGATTCAAATTGAAGAAATGTCATAAAACATCTTATTGAATGAAACAGAAGCATTGATATCGAGGACCTTATTTGTGTTATTGCTACACTAAGGTATGTTGTCATAGAGTTTCGAACTGAAACATACGGTATAGGTTATTGGCAGTCCTAGGGGTAACGATGTTTCTTGCAACACAAAATCATGAAAAGATGTCAAATGGTTATTGATTAGCATCGTGAAATAAATCACTCTGTGACGTTTTAATGTATAGTGTACATGTTGCTCGAAATCGAGCAATTGCAAAGAAGTCAAGTAGTTATTAAAAAACA